GAGGCGGGAGGGGCTGGGGCAGTTGGGCGGGGGGAGGGGGGTATTTAGAGGGGAGGGGGAGATTTAAAAGGGGAAAGGAGGTGCTGGAGGGATGAGTTTAGTTGTGAGGGAGAGATGGTTTGGCTGGGACATGATGGAGTAGTTCAGTGTGTGGGGGACACGGTTGGGTTGAGGTGGGAGGGGGCTTTAGAGGAAAGGAGGGGCTGGGGGCAGTTCAGCTTTGGAGGGTGCGGTTGAGCGGTAGTTGGGCTGGGGCTGAGAGAGCGGAAAAGGGATTGGGGGGGTTGTGCTGTGAGGGGGGCAGTTGGGAGCGAGGTAGCAGGAATGGGGGGCAGTTGGGGTGTGAGGAATGGGGGGCAGTTAGGACTAGAGGGTGGATGGGGGTGAGAGGGGAGGCCTGTAAGGGGTGCTGGGGGGACACAGGTGTTGTGAGAGCCCCATGGTGCAGTGGGGGGGGCTGGATAGTGAAAGAGGGGTGCGGGAGAGCGGTGATGGGGGCCGCCCTGGGGCAGCTGGGGGGCTGGAGGAGGAGAAGGTGCTTGAAGGGCAATGGTCCTGGGGTGCTTTATTGAGCGCCCCGGAGAAGCGGAATGCCTGGGAATAGGAAAGGTGGGGCTTGGGATCACCTGGGAGGAAGAGGAGGGAGCTGCGGGGCAGGTGTGCTGGAGGAGAGCGCTGTGGGGTGGCAGTCCTGCCATGAGCGTTCCCCGCTGCAGCGGAGCTGCTCTGCTCCCCGAGAGCAGCCCAGCGGCCAGGGGTGGCCCTGAGCGTGGGCAGGCGCTTCCCTGGGGTAGCTGCTGTGCTGCGGGCCTGCTCAGACCAGGGCTTTCAGGGCGTCCGGCCTGCTGGATCCAGCCTAAGGAGGATAGGATCCAGCCTAAAGCCGGAGGAGGGCAAAGCTGCGGGCTGAGCACATGGCCTCCTGAGCCCCAGTCTGGGCTCACAGGGATGGGCTTTGGACCTGGTAGGTTCATGACCTTCTATGTGTGCTTTGCTATCTCCATCTATGAGCTAGAGATAACAGTTGGCCCTGTGTGGGGATTAATTATCACATCTTACAGACACATTTTTATTTATTTTTTACAATAGATTGCAAGGGAGGAATTCTGAAGAATCCAAGTCCCCTTGTAATGGTGTTGAACTGCATTGTGTGGTCTGAACAGAGGAAACCACTGAGGTCAGTCTCCCTTGTGACCATGGCTGTTTTCCCTTTCAAAAGTATAGGGGGCAAAGAGTCACCAATTTATTGTGGTGCCCTGATAATAAATTAATAAAAATAATTATATAAAATATCAAGTTTTAAAAGGTGTGTTCATAGGGATTTTTTTCCACTTTTAAATTCTGGATTATGTACAGAATAACAATATTCTCAGTTTATAAAATATCCCGCAAATATTAAGAAAGTTTCACATTATCCTCAATATGAAATACTACCATTCTGTAAACTCAATGCTACCAAAACTGCTAAAATAAAACAAGCAAACAAAACTTCCTTCCTGTTTTTCTATAAATGAGTAATTTTATACCTGAAGAAGTTTTTGTACCCTTTGTTGAGGAGGATCTGCATGCTATGTATCAAAACTTCATATTTACTTTCAGATAAGTAGAACTATGGGAATTATTTAATACGGTACGAGGGAAAACTGCATAAAGCTGTGAACAGAGGTTGACTGTAAGTAGTTGTGGACCAGATCTAGTGTTTTGCAAACTTGTCACATGATGGTCTGATACTTTGCCTTTTGAAATCCCAATAGGAAAAGTAACACAAATGTGGATCACTTCAAGCATATGTTGTTGTAACTATTGGGAGAGGCAAACTAAAGGTTTATCTGGTTATCTCAATGCTGAAGTTGGCAGCTCTGACAGGAAACTTGGTTTCATTCATCTGCCAAAGATATTTGTAGCATATCACTTGACAAGTTAAAAGGCATTTCTGTAATGGCTCAAAAAATAAAACCATCGACTTTCTTAAGCTACAATTTCTGTCTTGTAAAACAATATGAATTTGGAGGCATGCTTGGGGAAACTAAGAACATACTAAAAAAGGTAAATACTTGTATTTGCAAATGTTAGAACAGTGATATTTAACCTGAATCTAGAATTTTCAGTTCATAACGGTCTATAAATATAAACTTGTTCTGGTACCAGTTTTGTCAAATTAGTGGCTATCATGTCCCTTTACAGATGAGGTATCTAAGTGAGCCGGTAAGAGGGGAATGATCTGCCCATGCCTGCATAACGTAGGATTTGGAATCAAGTTCTTCCGTACTTGTCTTGTGCTTCCTTCTCTGGACAGTTGCTTTCAAAGCTCATGGATGATGAGGCTAAAAGTTTCAGGTAATGAGGACCATGGAGATAAACCAGCAAATACCAGCCAACTTCCTGGGCCTCTTTTCTTTGGCTTTTGATCTGTGTAACACAGTGGTGAGCCCAAATAGAAATCCCTGGAGCCTCTAAAGGAGGCTAATGGCAGAAGCTGGAATAATGCTCCATCACGTATCATCAAGTAGTTTATTTAAAATAGTAGATCTATGTTTGCTAAAAGTTGTCAATGGCTTCTTGAAAAATATTGTATTATTTTGGACCATGAGTTTAGAGAGAGGAGGGGGAAAAAAGTCCTGAGATTCTTGAGACCTGCATTATTAAAAAAAATATATATATATAAAATATATAAATTTATCTAGGCACCAACCAATAGAGCCATTTAGCGCACCCCCCCACAGCCCTTTGCTATTAGACATTTTTTTTTGCTTCCTTTTCAGGTGATTATTGCAGTTATCTAGAACGTTAACTGGCTTTAGTTTAGCTTGTTAACTTACTGATGGAAATTTAACTTGCATACATTAACATCTTTAGTTTCGCTATGTTTGTAGTTGGGATTTGCAACAGTTTTTCCATCAGGTAGCCTAAACCCAAGGTTAATACCATCTGAAGGAGGTGCCAGACCATCAGTAAATAAAAATTACAAATTGCCTAGCGGTTCAGGTGACAAGCAGAACAGGTTTCAACGCGTTGTTCCCGACGTTGTGTCACGGAGCTGGTCCTGGGTAGACCCACACAACAGTCCAGGTTAGACAGGACTTTTAAGAGCGTGCATCAGCACTACATAATATTGTAGGAGAGGAAGTAGAGAACAATACTATGTCCAACGGAAACTGTGGCAAGAATTTATTCAAAGCACATTGTAATTACTCAAGCTGGGAATTTGGCCAGGACGTTGGGGTTAACACCCCTACATCTTTGGACTTGTCATAGTTTATTTTTTTTAATGACTTTTTAAGTCATGAGGAGCTTGGCTTTCTGTCTCAGCAGAATGACAACACCTCTAGCAGTATAAATGTCCTATAGCAACGCTAAGGTGCAGGTTCAGAACTAATTCAGCAGTGATAGGGCCTAGTGCAGTAATCATTGCTATATAAATACTTTCAGTAGATAAGAAAGATAAGATTGTGATTATGGCAGAGTTCTAACTACTGTAGTCACATATGTACCTTTCTTAGCCTTCAATGCATGTGTTGCTTTACTCTGACCTCTTTTAAGCAAATGAATGTAAACTCTAGAATGAATCCTAGAACATAAATCTGGAAATCTTCATTATGGAAATAGCAGTTATGGACTGCAGTTATTTCTGCTTTTAAGTTCATTTTCATGCAGAATGTATGATTAGGTGAAGAATTTTTGCACGGCTTTGAGGTTTTTAGAATATTCTCTTGTATATGTTATGTGCTGATTTAAAAACTTTCACCTTGATCTCTATTAGCAAGGAAGATAAGCACGTGTGTGTGTGTATGTGTGTGTGTGACTAGTTGTGAAATGCACAAGTCAGGAAATGTTTTGCTTTAGCTATCCCATGAAACCTGCTGTCATTCCTTCAGCATAGTTTAGGCCATTATTACAGGTTACAGGGTTATACAGGAAAAACGTGTTCTGGAGAAAGGTTGGTCAGAATGAGTGAGGCAGTCTCCTAGACTGTTGTAATATGTTTGGTAAACAATTTAGTAGATCTCTTGGGATGAAGATATCATGTCAGACAGCACCCTGTTGACAATGTTATGTGGTAATGACAAAAATGAAGCAATGCTGGCCTTGTTATGTAACCACTTCTGTATTATATGATAATAATAGCTCTTCAGTCTTCTCTGTTACTCTTTATTAGATAAGCAAGTTGTTCTTTGCTGTACACATGTCCCATGAGTCAAAGGAGTGGTGCTATCCATTAAGAAATAGGGAAACAGAGGCCCAAGAAAGGGAAGCGCTTACCCAGGATCACGTGGGAAATCGTTGTCAGAGGCGTAAACCTAATCTCAGCTTTCTGACTAACTGTCCCATTCTGCCCTCTGGGCAGGCACACAGGTGGAGAAGTGGCTTTTGGTGTGACTCAACAGTTTTTCCTTCCTTGGCAAATGCCACTCTGTTGAATTACAAATAAATGCCAGTAGGTCATTAGTACCTATGTCAAGCAGGTTACCACGGGATTCTGGGTGGGCAGATCTTTTGCTGGAGAGGGCAATATTTTCAAGACTTGAGGCGGGGGGGGGGAAATTATTTTCTTAACAGATGTGTGTTTCCTCTGATTACTTTCAGGTCTCTCCTGACTCTGGCTCCCAGGGATACCCCAGGCATTCTTTCCACCTTTCTCCATAGGAGAATAACAATAAGCCGATTAAGCTGCTGTGTCTCAGGTGCTTTTTTTGTACATTTATACAGGCAAACTGAACCTGTCCCTGAGATGATTCTTTGGTTGACTGTGCAAGCTCTGCCCCAAGGGGAGCTCTGCTGACCTGTGTAGCCCTGCACAGATATCCCATGCACATCAAAACATGTGACCATGCCTTTCCTGGGTGACAGTTCTTCTGAAAGTTAACTGCAAAATGGAAGGATTTTGCTCCTGCTAGCGCTGTGACAGGGTAGTAGCTTCTAGAACAGCAGTTTGCTGGATGTGATGGTTTAAACTACTGGAGCAAGACTTGATGAAGGTTTTTCAATGAAACCTCTTACATTCCTGATTAGCACAGCTAGATTTTTCCAGTGAACTGCAATGAATAGCTCCACCCACTGATCCAGACTGGATTTTGATCTTCCATTTTCCAAGAAAATAACAAATGTAATGTTGTTGTAAACATATTCTCAGGAATGGAACCTGCCTATAGTCTGTAAAAGAGCTCTGGAAAATATGGGTTCGGTCCTTAATTGTTCTGCAGCCGCCAGTCTCTGAGATGTTGCGTTTTGTGCTGAAATAAGATTCTAGGCCTGAAAAAAGAGGTAGACTGCATACAGCTAACAAATCTGTTGCTAGTATCTCTGGCTACTGCAGCATGACTCACCCATCAGAGCTTGTCAGTGCCTGGTGTGACCTCATTGAAAGCTTCAACATCTTTTATGTGAAGGTGGGTAGGTTGTAATCCAGTGTGGGAAACCTAAGGAGAGGGAAAGGGAAGTTCTGAGGCTCTGATAATGTGCACATCATAACCGTTTCCCCCGGAAACTGGCTGTGCCTGCAGCACAGATTACAGAAAATTCTCATAGATTCATGAGGATTTCTTAATGCCACCTCTGCCTTCCCCAGGCCTCTGTTCACAAGCACCTGTAACTATTCAATGCAGCAGTGGAAATCAATGCTGATGGAGGGGAAAACTGAGTAGGTGGAACAGGTTAGGGAGGAGGTTCTCCCTTATAGCAAGGGCAGGAAACAGCTGATGATTCCTCTTCATTTAGCACAGTTCCTAAGGCTGGAAGAAGATGCAGTATGTGGTGAGGTTTGTTTTGTTTGTTTGTTTTCTCTTTTTCCTTGTTTTTCCAGTCCCTGTCAGTAGTGCTCATTGAGGAAAGCGAGTGAGAAAAAAGCAGCAGGGGCTATAATGAAGAGAGAGGGCGAGTGAATTAGCTTGTGGTAACTTAAATGTGTAGCTTACATATGTAATGTGGTGATGAGACAAAAAGTGAGAAGGACCTGGAGTCAGAAATCAGATGGGTCTCTTTTGAGCTATTGCTTTGAGCAAACGTGCAGCTTGTGCTCAGTGTCTTTCCCACTTTGGCATGGGCTCTTATGCACAGCAGATCCTAGCAAAGTTTCTCAGTTTAAATAGTAGTGTTGGTTAGAGTTCCCTCCTAGTGACATCCTCCAGATGCGGCAGAAGCAATCATCCTCCTGCCTGTTACAGAAGGAAATTTCAGCCT